GTCTGCGTCCGCGCTGTCGGTACTTATTACATTAATACGTATTTGCGTATCACGGTCCGGTTGGTAGTTATATTTTATATACCTTACTATAGACTATATATAATTATAAAATATAAACTCTAGACAAATGCATTAAAAGGAAGTAAATATATATAAAACACAAACTGGTTCTGTCTTAATAACTTTACTTTATAATTATGATAAAGTGATAATTATTAAAACAGGATAGCGAGTGCTCGATGTGAGAAAGGACTTAAGACGATAATTACAATAGAGGATATAAGCTTTGTTGAAAATGATGCTTTGGTTGATGCAGTGGTTGGACTGGCTTCCACCTGTCAGCATGTCTGCCACTGACATTGTGCTAATGAGGCTCTACAGACAGTTACTCATCTTATTATTGTACACTTGTTGAGAAAGAACATAGTTAGGTGTGTCTTGAGAGCCAATAAATACGTTCACAGTGGCCTTGGTTGTTTTTGGATCTCTGCCCCATGCTGCATCTATCATTTAACCTTACACTGAAATGTTACACTCTGTCCCGCAGTGGAGATGTGAAGTGGATTTTTGATGAGACTTATATTTTGATTCATCTGAGAGACGCCATGGACCAGAAATAAAACACAAACTCAATTTCTCACAGCAACCCTTTTCATATTTTTTAAGGTTGTCAAAATTATCGCGTTAACTCACGTTAATTAAATTGTTCATTAACGCGTAAAGAAAAAATTAACGCATTAACGCATGTCCGAATGACCCGCCCAGTTATCCATATTATCACTCAGAATGCTGCGTACTACACATGCCTGTGTGAGATGGCCACAGGTCTCTGGGAATTCAAGTTTTAAAAGAATACGCGTGTGACCGTGGGGCTACAGTCTATGAACTGAAGTCCGCCTTCCCGGGCACACCCCTGGGGTACCTGCGGCCGCTCTGGTTGTTGTGAGCCGCTCACAACAACACGGTGAACGGCGCTGCGGTATTGTGGTCATATACATGTAAGACCATATACGCCACATTCTCTGCATGTTGTGTTCGTGTCTTTGCAACCTGTGCGTAACCTGTGCATGCAAATACCGTGTCTCCTCCTGAAAAATAAACGAAACTCGCTAAATTAAAGCTGGGGTACGTAAATTTTCCCCTTTCATTAACAGCTAATTTTGGTTGTTCCCAAAAGTAAAAGGTTGTGAGCAAATCAAACAGATTTAGGTACATTTGTTTTGAATGACAATGTGTCATTACATTTGATAATCTCATTTAACTTAAATTGGAGTGGATTTGAAATAGAATGTTAAAAATGTGATTAATCGTGAGTTAACTCACCATTACTATGCGATTAATCAACTAAACATTTTTACTCATTTGACAGCCCTATCTGTTTCACATGAAAAATATGAAATTTATATATAATTATTAAATATATTCTACTATTGTACTCCACCACATGAAAACAATTTTCCCTTTGATGACGATACAATTTTTGAGTCGATTGTAGAAAGTAGAGAAAAAGTACTGGAAGGGTTCGCACAGGAAAATTACAATAAAACACAACAGGGGAGAGGATGGGTAAAAGAGAAACAAACTTAAGTTCAAAGTTTGTCGTTTAATTGGGCTCGCTCAATATCCTGGTATTGAGCCAATATTTTTTTCAATTATTATTCTTATCATATTTTTTTATAATTTCTTTGGTTAACACAACAACAATTTCAGCTTAAAAATAGATCATTTGCTATTTTGGATTAGATAGTTAAAAAGCTGTTTTGAATTAGAGTCAAAATGTCACACGATGTGGAATTTCAGAATTGCAACACCCAGTCAGAAGACTTTGATTTTCATTTTAAATCTTTTTAAGTATAATATTATAGGCCCATATGAAGTTATGTGAATAAACAGTGGCTTTTCTATACCAGTGGAATATGCTCTTGGTAAATGTGTCAGTTATTCTTTTGGTTCATGTCCAAAAACTATTAGGTTTATAGCTCTTAAAACTCAGCTATGTGGGCTTGTATCTGAAACCAAAATGATTTCCATTGACATAACATTTCAAGGTCTTTGAACACAGCGGGCTTTTGTCTATGGTTTTAGAGATAATATTTAATCTGAGCTGTTGGTTTAACAGTCGTATGAATTGGAGGCTCCACAGTAAAAGTAATTGCCACTCGAAATGGTGAAAGTGCCCGTAATGAGTCGGTAAATAGGCCGTAACACTCCAAATGTCCCAAAAAGGCTGCTGTGTAGGAGTGGAAACAGAATTGACTGAGCACCTTTAATTAGCCTTTACACAGCTCCACATTTGTACACAGGGGGAAACATGTATCAGTGTTTTGCCTGTGTCAGATAATAAACTGCTAATTTTGTTGCTCTGAGTTTTCAAATAAGCTTATGATTATCTTCTGAGGTATTTTATTTATTTTAATTGTAAAGAATGTTATTTCTCCTCATAAATTGTCAAAATTAGTTTAGATGCAAAAAAAAAAAAGCGAGGCAGCTCTGAAAATGGCGTGAGAGTGTAAGGATAAATCCCAGGAGCATTCAGCCCGAAGGAGCACGGGACAGCGTTTGTGACGGAAGTTCACAAAAATTAGCAAGGATGGATCTATTCAATTCAGTTCAATTTATTTTTGACAAGAGTCACAACAGCAGTCGTCTCTGAGGACTTCACAATGTGATCGGCAATCAAACAGTTTGAACACAGGAAATGCAATAATAACAAACACATCGGTCGTCCTGCTCTTGAGAAAGGGATCTGCTTCCATGGACAATGGGCTGTAGATTTGGGACTCAGGCTGTAGATCCAGGACTCAGGCTGTAGATCCAGGACTGAGGCTGTAGATCCAGGACACAGGTTATAGATCTGGGATTCAGGCTGTAGATCCAGGACTCAGGCTATAGATCCAGGACTGAGGCTATAGATCCAGGACTGAGGCTGTAGATCCAGGACTGAGGCTGTAGATCCAGGACTCAGGCTATAGATCTGGGATTCAGGCAATAGAGCCAGGACTGAGGGTGTAGATCCAGGACTCAGGCAATAGATCCAGGACTGAGGGTGTAGATCCAGGACTCAGGCAATAGATCCAGGACTGAGGGTGTAGATCCAGGACTCAGGCAATAGATCCAGGACTGAGGGTGTAGATCCAGGACTCAGGCAATAGATCCAGGACTGAGGGTGTAGATCCAGGACTCAGGCTATAGATCTGGGATTCAGGCAATAGATCCAGGACTGAGGGTGTAGATCCAGGACTCAGGCAATAGATCCAGGACTGAGGGTGTAGATCCAGGACTCAGGCAATAGATCCAGGACTGAGGGTGTAGATCCAGGACTCAGGCAATAGATCCAGGACTGAGGGTGTAGATCCAGGACTCAGGCAATAGATCCAGGACTGAGGGTGTAGATCCAGGACTCAGGCAATAGATCCAGGACTGAGGGTGTAGATCCAGGACTCAGGCAATAGATCCAGGACTGAGGGTGTAGATCCAGGACTCAGGCAATAGATCCAGGACTGAGGGTGTAGATCCAGGACTCAGGCAATAGATCCAGGACTGAGGGTGTAGATCCAGGACTCAGGCTGTGCATCTGCGACCCGTGAGTCCAAGTCCATGGGCGACCAATTAAAAAGCAACTTCAGTTCTGTTTTTGATGAGGCATAGTTAAAAACTGAAATTAGCATCAAATATCTCCTCAAAACCATAGCTTAGGAATAAGCATTTTTTTGTATAAGTTCTAAATGTTAGATCGACATAGCCAAGTCTGTTGCAAGAGGTAATAACATGTTGTGTGTGTGTGTTAACATCTGTGGCGTGGTTTGGGTATTGTGGTTGTTTGGCTTTCAAGAAACTGGTGAAAAAGTGTGAATGGATGTCTTTCTCAAGAAGTGGAAATTGTTCAGAGGACTCGAAGAAATGTAAAAAATTTTGCAGCTTGTGGCGTCAGCTGCTTGTTTCAAAACATCTACAGAATCAGTGTAATGCGGTCAGCAAGGATCATTCTAGAAGTCAGAAACAGCCAAAGGGGGAAAAACATACATCCATGTACTAATATAACTTGAACTGTCATGTTTATAACCACATTCATCCAACATACTTTGTAGAACCTTTACGAGAACCCTGTCTTTTAGAATATAACTCTACAAGCTTTGCAAATCTAGAAACTCTCCCCCATTCACAAAATAACTCAAGCTCTATCAGATTAGATGTAGGTTGTTTTTAGCAGCAGTTTTCAGGGCTTTCCACAGATTTTCTCTGGATTTAGATTTCTAAACACATCGATATGTTCTGTTAGAAACTGTTCCATTGTATGAAAAATAAAAACTCCGTTCAATCATCATTTCACTGCATGTAACGTCTGGGTCTAGTCCCTGTGTTTGCGATTACAATCGGTTGAATTTCGACCGACCATTCAGAGAGCGTGGGAGGTGGGTGTTGTAGTTAGTTGTGGGTGATGTCAAGAGTTTGCGTCGAACAGGCAGGTTGTAGTTTGGCAATGGCGAAAAATGCAATAGCAAAGTAATCCGGTCTGGTTCTATCAAGAAATTGAATCCGGAGCAAGGGTAATGTTTAGCAAATGTAATCGCTGGAAAGAATTGTGTCGCTACTCCCCACGGGCTTCGTTAGCGGCAAAGGAGATGGCTAGGCTAAATGCTAAATGCTAAAGACTCACTCGGGCGCCAAACATACGTCACGGTAAACTCAGATCCAATCGTTTCAATCTGCAAAAGGCCACCTGTAAACGGAGCTCAATGGAGCACGTCCAGACCTTTGTAAGAAATGTCATTTGTACTATGGTGTGGTACGACCAGGCTACTCCAACAGCTTAATTTCCAGATATGCTTGAACTTTCTCCATCCTTTCTCCATCTCTTCTCTCTCCATGAAATGATTCCACAAAACAGCATTTTTTTATGTTTTGGCGATAAAAACCAATAGCATTATATAAATGAAAGAGAGATATTTAGAACTTTCCTAGTTACTTCCCATTAAAGCTTTTGGTTTGTGTGTGTGCAGTTCCTAAAGAGGGCCTGAAGAATCAGCCAGCCTTTGAGGAGATGCGAGTCAACTACATCAAGGAACTGCGGCGGTCGGTGGGAAAAGCAACCAACAACTCTGGTCAAACTTGGCAGCGCTTCTTCCAGCTCACCAAGCTCCTGGACGCTATGCACGATGTAAGTCTGAGTCCGGAAACCTGTGTTGTTTTGTTCAAATCAACTGGATTTTTACCATACCTTGAACAATGAGGGGTCTAGAGGTGTGAATGTGTATGAATGAGTGCGTGATCTGAACCACCCTAAACATTACGGCTATAAATAGATAGACTTACATGTATATACAATAATTGGATATATTTAAAGCTTGGTTTCCACAAGCTTTTTAGTGAACACGCTATCGTTTGAATACTTGTGAGTAACTATTTGATGCTTTTCACTTTTCTGTCAAAAAACGCCGTTCTGAAGTTGTGACAGAGGGCCTTACATGCATGCAAAAACTAGTGACAGAACCAAGAACTACGGTTACATAATTGGGTACTCCAACTTTAAAGCTGATGCATTTGCCATTCAGTTTTGATAAAGGCTGTGGTACAACATCAACGTTTTCACACACAAAAGTGAAATGGGGTGGATTATTCCTGTACCAGCCAATGAGCTCTCAAAAGAGGCCTACATAACTCATGTGAATCTTCCTAATTATAAGTAAGCTATATCTTAAATATGAAACACAATCTCTGTTTAAATTAGTACAATGTTCTGTTCACTAACTAGAGGAGATAATATTATTTACTAATTTATGCAAAGGTAGTGAGTTTTTCCTCTCTTGAGTAGTGAGAAAAGGTTCATAGGCTACTTAATTTGTGTTTCTCCTTATCCGACCCCTACTTCAAAATCAAAACATTTTAATCTATTACACTGGGTGATTAGATAATGGATTTATTTAGCCTTGTATCACTGCTGCGGTTGGAAATGAGGATTACAACTGCCCAAATATGTCCCCGAGGGAAAGGTCACTCCTGAGCCACGGGATCGCTGCCAGACTCAAGTTTATTGAACCTGTTTGGGTGGTCAGTGCTGCTGGTGTGTGTGGGCCCACTGTAGTGCTATGTAATTAAATAAGAGGGGCATTGGAAGGTCACACAGATTAATGGCTGAGGGTCAATGACTCTACAGGCTGGGGGAACGAGGTTAGCAAAAGTCCTAACCAGTGTTGGTGAGAATACTTTAGAAAGGCAATTAGTTACAGAATACCCATTTAATAACGTATCATCTCCAATTAGAGTATTGTATTGGAATATTATTACACGCATTTGCATATTATCATGGGAAAAAAGCGTCACAGGGTTAAACTAAAGTATGATTTTGCATGGTTTGTAAGGCCTAGGGTGCATCATTAAATTTTGAAGTCTTCCATTTCTTTAAAGTGGTTCTCACCCCCGCTCCTCGGAGCTTACGTTACTCACATTTCCTGTTCAAATCTTCCTCTAAATGGGCGTAGCCTGGAGGACTAAAGGGGGCGTGAACGAGACTGGGCCGTTTACGTTGCTCTGGGCGGGGGGCTGCTGACGTCAGGTCCAACTTGCAGACGTCAGGTCCAACTTCTGTGCCAGTGTTGGCGCCAGATTCAAAATTCAAATGTAGTAATACAGGTCGCCAGCAGATGGCGCCTCACAGACGGTTTTAGGCAGAAAGTCTAACTTTCAACTAATTTGCACCAAAGTGACAAGATTATGACCAGGATATGTAGACAACACTATTGGACACTCATTTATACCGTTTATCAGCAAAAAAAAAGTGGATTTGAGGGTGAGTTGTCCTTTAAGTTGAGAAGTAGTAACTCAAAAACAGTGTGAATCGTTATAATGTATGCTGTTACAGTACTCCCACGACACGGGACAACACATGACAACACTTGACAACACTTGACCCTGAAGCCACACAGGATCAGTGTTGCCTCCCTGTGGTAAAACAAGGTAAAAAAGACCTCAGAGAGTAAGGGTTACATTAATCCATTAACAGACAGTAACCAGTAGTAACATACACTGTATAAAAGTTATTTTTGTTTGCTGGAAGGTATACTCCTTAGATATAATGCTATGTTTTAACACACGGGCAAACATTTTACTCAGCTTGCAAATTGGTTGTGTGGAGGGCCAAATGTGCCAACAATCTCTTGGAAAAAGTGAATTTGCAAATATATAGATCAGTGGTCCCCAACCTTTTTATTACCAAGGACCAGTAAAATGACAGACATTATTTTCACCGACCACTCCTCATTTTCTTGTCTCTTGAGACTCTTCAACCTTTATTTTTATATCAGAGCTATTGTGTCACGTGACAATGATACCATGCAAGTTATTTATTCTTTCCTTTACTTTTACCGGCACTAAAAGGCAGACATTTTCTTTGAATATTGTGCATTTTAGGGTAAAGGACTGGACTATCTCCGGATTGGTTTTTTGATAAAAAAAATTATAGTTCCAAATAGGGTTGCACGATATATCGGAAAAATACCGTTATCGCGATATGGGTGCGTGCAATATCCATATTGAAAATATGTGCAAAAAAAAAATCCCTTTATTAAAGACAACAAAACAGACAGACACATTGACATTCAACAAATACAACAAACAAACAAAAAGGTATATAAATATGTGCATTTGTTTTTTTTATTTGTCTCTTGCGTTTCAATGCAGATTGCAATTTTAGGTGAAAGACAAAAATATATTTTATCAAAATACTAAACACTAATATCGAATATCGCACTAATTTCCAATATTGTGCAGCCCTAGTTCCAAATGTAAGCGCCCCCTTGCAGCAGATTATGGCAGAATAAGTTAGCTTGGTGCTTTATCTGCGTGATGAGTCCTCTGAAGACAAGTATCACAAGTTTTGAATTGAAATCTCAATCCCCACGTGGCTATACTCTGTTGACGTAAAAAATAAAAATAAACACAGAATAAATGATGATGATGAGGAGGAGGATTCAGAGCCACAGAAATAATGTTAGGTTGATCTGGGAAGGTGACAACACATCTGTAATGTGAAGCACTAGAGCTCCTATTGTATTGTTGTTGTTTTTTCCTCCAACATTTAGTGTTCTAAAAATAAGTGGTTTCTGACTATACTGTCTCTTCTCCTGCAGCTGGTGGGGAACCTGCTAGACTTCTGTTTCTACACGTTTCGTGAGTCGCAGTCGCTGAAGGTGGAGTTCCCGGAGATGTTGGTGGAGATCATCAGCGACCAGATACCAAAGGTGGAGTCCGGCCTCACACACACCATCTACTTCCACAAGAAGTGACTGGGACAAACTCAAAGAACTGGAGCAGGAGAGGAACCAGAGGAGCTCACAGATCAGCCCGCCCTCTCTCCCCACTGGACTTGATCTGGTCTCAGGACAAGACACTTAAAGCCACACAGTGACCGAAGGCCAGGGAGAGGCCGCTTTGGTGCAAAATCTAGCCTGAATCTACAGAGTGGAAGAGAAGCACGAAGAAGGACATGTGACAACCCTGACACTCCCCTCCCCCCATGCCCCCACCTCCTGCCCCAAAGATGACAGTATTTTCTACGGAGTAAAGCCATACATTTCTAAGGCCGCGCTTGACAGTCACTAAAACACTTAACACGAATGAAGAGAAGTCCACTCATTTGTCTGATGACAGAGGCGCTCCACAGGCTACTTCCACACACACGGATACATTTGGGAGTATTATTTCATTTTTACAGTACTTGCTGGACTAATAAGCGCACCTGTATATAAACCACACCTGCTAAATTTCAAAAGAAAGTTAATTTTGTCTACATATAGGCCATACATTTTCATGTTGCAATAGTTAATACTTATAACTGGACACAGCTATTGTGAATTTAGTCTAGTTTGACCACACATGTGTGTCTCATTCCTATGAAAACTCAAAAGTCAAAGTAATTAGGCCATAATCTCTTTAGTTCTAATCACATTAAAATAAGTCCTGTATATTTCCCTGCACTTTCTCTTGTCAGCTCTCTGCCGTTCACATAAACACACCGGAAGCAGGAATGGAGATCCGCAGCTGTGTCCAAAGCCGAGCTCTGTGGACCGCCAAGTACACGGAAGTAGTCCAGAAAATACTGTAATCTAAATGCAAAGTTTGTGGATGTAGCCTTGGTCACCTACAGACATGTTTTTTTGCAAATATTAACTGTGGCTTATGCAGTCTATGCTAAACAGAACTATAAAAATAGATGCCAACACATACTTAGAAGTAGCTTTGCCATATGATTTTAGACAAAAAGAGTGGTCTATTCTAAGGGCTAAATTTATGCATCACCATTTCTAGGAATTGTTATAGCATTCCAACTAGCTTAACCCACTCAAATGCAATCATTATCAACATCTACATGCTTCGTTTTCAAATGTGTAGTTAAACAATCAAAAACATATATGCAAAAATTATCCAAAGCGGAGACAAAAGAAAGTTTGCACGCAAAGCTAACCCTGTCATTCACTCATTTTTGGCATATCAAACGAAATGGAAAGGCCATTCTAGGAGATTTTAGAATTCTATCTCTTCGGCTTATCTAAGTGTTTTTACTCATCATGAAGCAAAATCAGTCCTTTTCAAAGTTACATATTCTTGCCCGAAATAATGTTTTTTAGAAATGCTATGTTACAAATGTTTTTTTTTTTTAACAAATAATGTAATTTAAGAGGCTTTCTACCATTCAAAGCTAAACATATTAAGGCAAACGTAGGCTATAGGTATGCCAACTGCAGACGCATCCAACAGGCAGGTGTGTACAGGTATTCACCACTCACTCTATTTAGCGGATGTACAGACATTATTTAGAGGTACAGTACTTGAGCTGAATTTCTGGATTAATATTTGGGCCAAATGTTTGAGATTCAGGCAAAAAAGTCTGTAGAATAAGCTAAAATGTTGCTTTTTCTGCTGCTTTGTGTTAGCGCTGTATTGTGCTGGGTGTTCCCATTGGCGCTGGCTTTTCACTCAATAATATTAATGCTAAGGGTTATGTTAGCCTAGTATTAGACATATGGAGATTTTAAGATGCTCAACTCAAAAATTGTTCAATTGTTTAATTTAAAAATAGATGATACATTGTTTTGTCTCAACAGAATAAGACTCGGGAAAGTCTCATGTTGTGAACAAATCTGGCCACAACATGCTGTCTTTATTCTATTATAAAACTAATGTTGCAAACTTGCCTTTAACGAGCCCTGTGAGTCTTTAAGCTGATTGGCTGAGTCAAGGTGGTCCTCTCATTTTCACTTTTCTGCCTGTTTAAAAAAAACATGCATGAAAATATACTGATAGAACCAGAGCTATGGGTTTGTTTGCTGGGTATTGTTACAGAATGCCATGTTAGGTACTCCAGCTTTAAGAAAATATTACTTCAGGCAATACATTTTATGGAAGCAAGTGGCAGAACCCCCCGCCAGAAACAAAAATGACTCGCAAAACCAAATAACATCTGTTCCATAAACAGGCTCAACCCTTAGTAAAGAGGGCATACACGACAGAGAGGATGAACCTAAAATATGTGTTCTTCTCTAAATGCTTCAACGTCCAACACTTTCAGAACCTTTTGCACAGCCTGTTGTTTTCTAACAAAGTTAATGGCAAAATGCACACGTGATATGACTAATAGATTCCTGCTTCAGAGACCAAAACAACACATGACAAATTGATACCTTCGCTGAAACTACTCAAATAAAAGGCAGTAAAGGCTTGAGTCAAGTTGGTTTTATGTCTTAATTAGAGTCTATTTTGACTGCTAAGATTTGGCATTGAAACAGGTGTAAATTTCTTATTTCTCATGGTAGCAATTTCCTCATTTTGTCTAAATACAGATTATCTAGTATGAGACGTGGAAATTGGCTTCAGCAAGAAGTTAATTGCCACTAATTATTTATTTAAATATCAACTAATTTAATATCGGTTGAACCATACTTGTACCAAAACATGCTAAAAAGAGGTTTAATGACTCCAACAGAGCTAAAATCAGTGCAAAACATAGAATTAGTCATTCTTATCAAAGAACAAATTACGTTACATTCAGTCTATACGAAGGTGTTCGCAAAGGAAGCGTATGTTATACTAACATTTAAATACATCTCCATCTTCCATGTGTGTCCCCAGATTATCATACATAAAAATTATAGTAGGCCTTTACTGTCCAAAAGCTTAAAGTGGATTTATCCTCAGGTCAAATTGACCCACCACAGCCATATATTTCCTAACTTGTCTAGCCCTGGGTCATTTAGACCCTAGAAGATCCACAAGGGTCTAATTTGAAACACTGTGGCGGGTCATTTTGACCTGAGGGTTGCACTAAGGTTGGTACTCCAAAAACATTGGATAAAAAAAGATTTCTCACTTTAAAAAATGTTTGGACATGATTTACACAATATTTGTGTTTCCAATCAGAGAGCGGAAAGAGGGTCTCATGTGGGTTGCCAGTTTTTCAGATAAATGTTCAAACTATTAATTAATTACAGCCTTATTTGTCACCATTATCATTTAAAATGTTCTGCCCAAAAATCAAACATTTCCTAACTTCCTGACTCAGATCCCATCCAGCCATGACACTGCGACTATTTTAACCGGCGCTAATGTGAACACCCGGACCGAAGCGCTGCGTACTGTGCACGACTAATATGATGCTACTGAAAGTGAAAGGGTCGCTGGGCGGAGGCAGAAGCGGGGGTGGGCAAGGGGCGCATTTACATGGGGGAGAGCGCGCCGGGAGAAACATGTTTTTCCCTGGCAAAACAGTGCGTAGTGAATCCGCTGGCGTGGGTATTATGCATTTACATTATAGGATTATCCATATCCTATTTCCAGATTTAGATTTGCACAGTGAAGATACAATGTGAATATAAGGCATTAGAGCAGCTAAAGCTTGGATCGTTTTTAGTTTTGTGTGTGTGTGTGTGCGTGTGTGTGTGTGTGTGCGCGTGTGTGTGTGTGTGTTGCGAAAATGCGACAGGAACTATTTTGTGTACGGTCACCTATAGTCATTTTATTTGTTCTTTTTTTGGCAATCTGAAAACGTCATTCACAACAACAACAACAACAGTTTCACGCTGATCTCTCACGCTTTCTTTATTCCGCCCCCTTCTTAAAAACCTATCTAAAAAAGGTTCATAGGAACGAATGGGAAAGTATTTTCTGAGAGAATTATATTTTGCTGGAAAACGATATTTAAGTACTTTGTCTAAACTCCTTTTTGTAAAATGAAATGTCAATGCATGCTTTTTTTCGACCAGATGTTTACATTGTATTTAAAAAAAAAAAAAGGGAAATTTGTGCCTTTTTTATCTCACGACGATTTTACAGTGTACATATAAATATTGTAAATAGCGAGTCTTTATGTTGAGTATAGAAGCGTTTCTATATCTTTGTTGGAAATGTTGGACGTAATGCCATGTTAACAATTTGATTCTATGGTGCGGCTCTATGGAGATTTGAATGTAAAATTAGTGCGAGAGACGAACTACCTTGAATGTTGGAGAGAATACATTTATCATCTTAATGAGTAAAGTTATATAATTTCATATTTTTTTCTTTCTTTTTTTTTACTTTTGCATTTTTGTTTGTGTGGCTCAAAAAAAAAAAAAACGTTTTATTTTGTAACAAGTGATGGATCCTTGAGTTGTTGTTGCTGGAGTTACTAATGAGAACCGCCAAGTAAAAAAAAAAAAAAACTAACAATCACTACCATTAAAACACACTGAGATTACGATCATGTCTTGTGCACTAAATGATGTGGATGAAGAGCAGGGGCTGCTTATATTTCAAAGTCAACCACTATTCAAAAAGCAAATAAAGAGTTAGAAATGTTATTGTAAACATGCATCTAGTCGACCCGCTTCTTTCATATCCTCACTCTTTTAGACACATTTTTGCATTTGGACAATGTTCTTTCATACTAGCAAGGAAGGATTTAACGTGTGTATGGAAACGCAAAATATATCCGCAGCTTAAGTCTAACAAGATTCAGGCTGGGATGTCCCTTTGGATAATCCTGTTTTAAGATTTATTGACTTATTTGGCTTTTTTTTTTTTTTTTGCAGTGTACGCAGTGATTGTTGAAATTTGACCGAATAGCTTTTATTTTTCCTCAGTTTGGATGATTTGAGTTTTTATTCAGATAACATGAAGTTATTGTAGTTACCTGTCAAACAGATAATAAACAAGGCCAACGTGTGGGGAAATTATACGATATTGATCAATTGACTTGAAATAAGAGATAGTACAAACTAAATATTCATGTCATATTTGAATTTTATGTTTT